GTATGGATGTGAGAGTTGGACTGTAAAGAAAGCTGAGTGCCAAAGAATTGATGCTTTTGAACTGTGGTGTTGGGGAAGACTCTTGAGAGTCCCTTGGACTGCAAGGAGATCCAACCAGTCCATCCTAAAGGAGATCAGTCCTAGGTGTTCACTGGAAGGACTGATGTTGAAGCTGAAACTCCAGCTGCGAAGAGCTGACTCATTGGAAAAGCCCCTGATGCTGGGAGAGATTGAGGGCGGGAGGAGAAGGGGATGACAGAGGATGAGATGGTTGGATGGCATCACTGACTCAACGGACATGAGTTTGGGTGGACTCCGGGAGTTGGTGATGGACAGGGAGGCCTGGCGTGCTGCAGTCCATAGGGTCGCAAAGAGTCGGACACGACTGAGTGACTAAACTGAATTCATATTAATAAGACATTTAATTTATATAACTAAATATACATTAACAGGGCCCTCAATATTTCATAGAAAATCAAAACAATGAAATATTATGTAATGTTCATAAGAACATGGTATATCTATCTAAAAGTATAAGGAAAAAATCTCCAGGATATGTTAAGGCAAAAGAGTAAGATTCAGAACATTATATGTAGTAACATACAGTGTTTGAGGAGAAAAAAGGAATTGCTATATAGTTGCTAATTCATGTCTGACTCTTCTGCGATCCCATGGACTATAGCCCGCCAGGCTTCTCTGTCCGCGGGATTTCCCAGTCAAGATTCCTAGAGTGGGTTGCCCTTTCCTTCTCCAGGCAATCTTCTCGATGCAGGGATCAAACCCACATCTCCTGCATTGCAGGCAGATCCTTCACTCCTGAGCCACAAGGAAGTCAGAAAAAAAAAAAAAATACACAGGCATTAAATTCTTTCAAATTTCTGTAAGATATATAAGAAACAGCAGTTACACCTAGAGAGCTGGACTGATGGCACAGAATTTCACTTTTCATTCTATCATCTTTTGAGTTTTTACCATGTGCATATGGTAAAACTTCTATAACTATTTCTATAATAAAATGTGCCCTGGTGACACACAGTTTGTTTAATAATGTTATATGAATGAATTACTAACTAGAGAGAGGTTTCATCAAATGGGGATAAAAATCAGTGCTAAAACAAAAGATAATGATAAAATGGATCCAGCAAAGAATTAATTTAATTTGTATTGCAGCAACCATTAAACAAACATTTCAGGTTTACTCTCCAATATCTTTCCTCCCAGACCTAGAGTCAAGCTCCAAGTTATCTAAACCAACTACGTACTGCCATCTCTCTGCAACTGACTGTTCACAGACTGATAACATTGAATAAAAGATTTAGAGAAGCTCTGAAAAATATGAATATGTACTAGGAGATGAAACAGAGATTAAAGAAACAATTATATCTAATCAGCAAACCTTTGTGATTCTCAGTACCACCACATAGGTGGCAACCAGGAGGAAGAAATAGCCAGAAAATTTGGCAAAGTTAATCTCTAAATTGATACCTGTAAATTTACAGGTTATGACCTCTTTCTCCAATGGGACATGGGCAAAATTACCCATATCTTGTTTACACTGTCAAACCAAATCAGGCTATTCCAAGCATAAAAATGCAAAAATTGGTAACAGGTTAATTATTTTATATTTCCAAAAGTTTTTTTTTTTCCTTGCATCAAAGTAATTCATTGTAGAAAACTGGAAAATCTGAAAAAGGTGCTTCCCTAGTGGCTCAGGGGTAAAGAACTCGCCTGCCAATGCAGGAGACACGGATTAGATCCCTGGGTCGTGAAGATCCCCTGGAGAAGGAAATGGCAACACTCCAGTATTTTTGCCTGAAGAAGCCCATGGACAGATGAGCCTGGTGTGCTACAGTCCATGGGGCCACAAAAAGTCAGACATGACTTAGCAACTGAACAACAACTAACAAGGTCATAAGGGAAAAAGTTAATTTCACTACACAAAAATAACCAGTTCACTTTTTGTATAGCCCTACCAGTCTTGGGAGGCAGGAGGAGAAGGGGACGACAGAGGATGAGATGGCTGGATGGCATCACCGACTCGAAGGACATGAGTTTGAGTAAACTCCGGGAGTTGGTGATGGACAGGGAGGCCTGGAGTGCTGCGATTCATGGGGTCGCAAAGAGTCGGAAATGACTGAGCAACTGAACTGAACCAGTCTTCTGAATGCATTTTTTAAATTATATCATGAGACATGTTGTATATACAACTTGGTGTCCTACTTTATCACATTATGTCATAAGCATTCCTTTTGCTTTAATGCTATGTATTACTAGACTAAGGGCAGTGACTCTATAAAGGCCTTCATTATATGGATCAAGTTATTTTAGAAATACAGTTGACCTCTGAACAAGTGGGGGTTTTGTGACGCTCCTCACAAAATCCAAATATAATTTGTAGTTGGCCCTCCACATCCATGGTTCCAAATCTGCAGAGTAAACCAACTGTAGTACAAATTCATTGAAAAAAACAATCCATTTGTAAGCTGACCCTTGCAGTTCAAACCCATTTTGTTCAAAGGTCAACTGTATTTTCCTTATGCAATTTTAAGGTCAACTTTTGGTCCCAAGGTTACGTGCAGCTTCTCAGAGCTTCATGTGCAACCCTAGAAGCTAATGCAAAGAGAAAAAAAATGCCATTAGTCTTATTTACACAAGGAGTTCTGCTGTTTTAAAAGCAGATTTCATACACACACAGCGTCAATAATCAAGAAGTGTATTCCCGTTTCTGTCTATTATTCTGGCTAATTTTCCCATTCTACTTTTGCTCAGGTGGTCACTTTAAGATGATCTGTTACAAATTTATTTTTACTTGTGCTTGTTAGTGAATCACAAGGGCTGTAGAGGTCAACAGCTGTAACTTTTTTGTCTGTACAAAGAAGTCTGAAACGAAATCTAATTAAGATAAAACACAACACTTACTTTTATTAAATGGTGATGCAACAGTAACGTATGGCTAGTCTAATGCTTCTCATTTTTCTATTTCCTTTTTAAAGCTTTAAATATTAAAATTAAGATATGCTATTAACCAGTAAGTACTAGATACTATTTTTTTCAAACTGTAAATAACTGTACAGATCTTTATAATATTACCCTCCACATGATATAAACATGTTAAACACACCATGGAGACAAACAGCCTACAGAATTTAGAACACTAAATAATGTTACTATTTGAACTTGGCTGTTTTTCTTAATGTCCCTAGACTCCAAACTGGCATGTAATTTTTAAGACTCCAACATCAAAAAAGTTAACACTTTTGCAGTAAATTAACAAAAACATTTAAAACAATTCCAGAGTAAGAACAATGAAGCATTTCAATCATCACACACACACACCAAAAAAAAAAAATCAAAATTTGTCATTTATCTGTATTATTACAATGTATTTGGGTAAATAACAAGATTACATGCCAAAGTAGTCGTATCAATGTTTCAAGGTAGGCCTTTCCAGTCTAGAGAAGCATTTATTATAGTCAAAGGCCTCTGACTCCTCTTCCATGAATTTTAAGAACTTTCGTAACTCTAAAAGGTACTTCAAGGGTTCATAAAAATATCATTAGAACACCTTGTAAAACCACTAAACAGCACATATGTCTTCTTTGACTAATCAAAACTGAAAGAATCATACATTCATCTGAGAACTGGTGCTATATTTACTACTGCAGAAAAGTGACTTTTTTTTTAAATATCTCCAATGTGGGAGGCATTTTCTGTAGTTCAATAGATGTAGATCAAGCAGTGGTTACACTCAAGTTTGACAAATTCTGTGAGTTTGTATCTTATTACTGTGATTCTGTATCAGACATCTGTTTTCTCTCATCACAGGGAGCTTTCTTTTTTCAAACCAGAGAGGAAATCCACTCTTCTGCTTAGGTTTTTACTGAGGGATAGGAAGGGAGGCTGTTAAGAACTCAATTCTCAGCCTGCTACATTTTTTTTCAGTGAGGATCAGAAAAAAATTAATACCAAGGCTTTCTCACAACTCTCAAGTATGAGCGTATTAAACAGGGCACTGTCAAAACTAAAAATTTTTACAGGAAGACAATGGCAGTGTCTGCACAAACCAATCAATTTTTCAATTAAACAGGAATCCTGCTGTAGAAGAAACATGCAGGAATCAGGAAGAACCAAGGACTACTTTCTAGGTCCTGTTGTAATATCCTAATTCACTTATCCGAGAGGCTTTAGGTTCTTTCCTCTGAAAAATGAAAAGACTATTAGTTCTCTGTGGGTCTAAAAAAATTGTTTCTTCCTAAATCGATGGTTAGCTTCCATAAGTTATAATGATAGGGAGGGTGGAAGGGGACTGAAGCAGGATAGCTTCAGGCCACAATTATAAGGACACAGAAAGTATTCTGGTTAATAAATTGACAGAAGTGCCATCTTCAGGTGGCACAGTTACAGAGAACTTGGGGGGCGGAGGGCTGGCGGGGAGGGTAAGGACCCCGCCTGGCCACCCAAAGGTGACTTAAAACTTTGCTGGAAAGACTGACTGATCATCTGGTCTGTACAGACTCCATTTGTGTAAAAACATCTGAAACAGTTAACGTAGTTTAACAAAAATCAGGTCTTGCGGCCAGACGGCGCGCCCACCCGGGGCGTTGAAAGGCCAGCCAGCGCTGCAAGGCCAGGGGTCGCCAGCGTGGGTACGGGGTCGGCCGTGGGGCTGGGGCCTCCAATTGTCCTCAAAGTCCTAACTCCAAAGAAGCACGAATCGGACCCAAACACTCCTCCCTTTATCCCAAGCTCTTCGCATTACCAAGTCCCAGAAGGACGCTAAACCCTATTCATGTAGATCCAGGTGGGGAGAGTTGGGAGACGCACTGGCGGGCGCGAGCCGCGGCCGCAGAAGAGCCTAGGCCTTGGAACCAGCCAAAATGTTGGGTTTTAAGCCCCGATCTAATCGCAGCGCCTCCGGTGAAAAAAACCTCTTCGGCGATCAGGGAGCGAGAAGCGGGCGACTGGAGGAGGGACGGGGAAAGGAGGAGCGAGGTCCTTACCCGCTGCAAGGTTGGCCACTGCCGGAGGCTGCCGGCGGCTCCAATACCGGAGGCCGGAGGCGGCTCCACGGAGCCGTAAGGAGGCTGCCATGCTGCCCCCGCCCCGCCTCCCCACGGTGACCTCCGCGGCTCCCGGCTCACCCACTGACTGCCAGGGTGCGTGGTACGGCGGGCGGGCTCGGCTGCGGCGTGGGGCCGCACGCGCACGCGCTCTGCCGCTCGGGGCGGACACCTACCCACGAGGGGAGGAGCACGGAGCGAGAGGCGTGACCCGGAGGGACAAGCGCCGTCAATCTCCTTACAAACAGGGAAGGAGGTCAATCAGACGCCCCAGATCTCTCCGCCCTTTGAGAACCACCAATAGGAGGGCGGATACCTCCCTGGCCCCGCCCCCAAGTTCCTCCCTTATTTACGGACTGCGGGTTGGCGTCTCCTTGTTTACCAAAACGCTGAGGGCCAGTGGGAGGCGGTGGTTGTCACTCAGCGCCTCCTTGCAACACCTGCCCTTCAGAACCGCCTCTTCGAGTGTTGTAACTGCACGTCTTGCTTCCTTGCAGTCAAGGACAGAACTTTGGCTCGCGGCAGCTGCTGCACTATTTAAGCAAGAGCAGAAATTCCCAAGCTTTCCAAAAACAGTGATCCCTTTTTAACTTCAATAAAACGTGGGCCTCTTGATGTTAGCATTTGTGTTTTTAGTGTCTATTCATTGAGAAACAAGCACAGAAATCTACCGTGAATGCAATAACTTTATCAGACTCAGTTGATTTTAATTTGCCGAATAGTTTCTCCATAAATTTGAAAAATTGTAGGAAACCAATAATGTTTTCTTCGAAGTATAGAATTGCTAGGAACTTGCTCCTCGAACATATATTTCTCTAATGTTTGAAAATTCTGCGTCCATTTCATTTAAAGAAAGCTGAGCACCAGAATTGATGCTTTTGAACTGGGGTGTTGGAGAAGACTCTTGAGAGTCCCTTGGACTGCAAGGAGATCAAACCAGTCAATCGAAAAGGAAATCAGTCCTGAATATTCATCGGAGAGACTGATGCTGAAGCTGAAACTCCAATACTTTGGCCACCTGGTTCGAGAAGCCAACTCACTGGAAAAGATCCTGATGCTGGAAAGGATTGAAGGCAGGAGGAGAAGGGGATGACAGAGGATGAGATGGTTGGATGGCATCGCCAACAAGATGGACATGAGTTTGAATAGGCTCCGGGAATTGGTGATGGACAGGGAAGTCTGGCTTGCTATAGTCCACGGGGTCTTAAAGAGTTGGACACAACTGAGCAACTGAACTGAACTGAAAAGCAAATGAAAGTGCAGAAAGTATGTTTTTGTGTCAGAAAGGAGATTTATTCATTCTTCTATCTGTGCTTGGTGTACATATTTGAATCTCTGAAACCTTTGGCGATGATTACAGGGCTTCACTTCCTCACTGACCCCATGGAAGGTTTGGGAGCCATGGACACCCAAAACAAAGACTTTCTGCTTGTTTATTTTTGTTTTTGTTTTTATGGAAAAGTAGTACAGAAGGAAGGGGGCTTCTCAGGTGGCACTGGTGATGAAGAACCCGCCTGCAAAGTCAGGAGATATAAGAGATACAGGTTCCATCCCTGGGTCAGGAAGATCCCCTGGAGGAGGACATGGCAACCCACTCCAGTATTCTTGTCCGGAGAATTCCAGGGGCAGAGGGGCCTGGCAGCCTACAGTCCATAGCATTACAAAGAGTTGGACAGGACTGAAGCGACTTAGCACACCACACATTACAGAAGGAAAGAGTGAGAACAGACTAGGGCAATAGAAACCACTCTGCTGAATTCATTTTATTTATTCACTTGCCTAGGTTGTTTTTACCCAACCTTTTGATCTAAGTAGCAGAATCAATAGATTTGACTTTTTTTAACCTCCACTGCAGCCACACACAGGAGTTCAAAGTATCTAAAGGAACTGGATGGTTTCCAAGTATGCTCTCTCAGGGTTCTTGGCATGGTAGCAGTGTTTCCAAAAACTGGTACAGAGTGCAAGATCCCTATTTGTAACGGATAGAGAAGCAGTTCCTTTCTTTGACTTTCTCTCCACCCCAGCCCTCTACTCCACACAAACCAAAACCAAGGAAAGGAGGAAGATAGGGAAGAAAAAATTATTTCAGCCATGGGGACAGTCTCCTAGATTTGGGTCCCCATCTACTTGGGGACCCAAATCTACTTCCCAGTTTCTGGAGCATTTCCTACCTGATCATCTGTTGCTGGTTTATTTAGGTTTCAGCTTGTATAGACCTCCTGCAAACAATGAACTACAATTATTAATGCTACAAACAATGTAGCACTCCAGGTTTATATAGTTGTTGACATGCAGACTGCCTTTCAACTATATGAGCCTGGAAAGCAGAGGTATTTAGAAAACAGGCCCACATATCAATTGGTCTCCCAACTCCTTAAGTTTATATCTCAGTCCACTTGAGACTTTATATCCAATCAGATGGATTTTGTTGTTTTTATTGTGAGGTACAGTGCTTGTTTCTCTAAATTGTTTGTAGGACTCTCTTTCAGAAAATGAATGTTTCTTTACAAAAGTCTCCTCTTATGAACTGCTTTCTCCTAGGACTGAAAGGGAGAGAAGAAATAACTCAGAAAGAAGAGGAAGCAGACCTAAAGCTGCACATGAGGGCTTTTTAATTTTTTTTAAAACAAAATGAATGTGCTGGTTTTGAAAAGGGACTGAATAGCATTGAAAGTTTGATTCATTTTGCTCAACTAGGACCAGGGGTAAGTTACAATTTCTCCATATTCCTACATCCTGTAGTTTAGTATAGTTTCTCAAAAGCCCTATTTGCTTCATAAATTAAGGCTCTGAGATTTTCACAGAAGTTTTCTCATAAGCACCTTGATTTTTTAAAGTAACTATTCCTATTTGAAGGTGCTTACAGATCTTAATGTATCTGAAAAGACAGTTACTCCTATGTCTGGCTTTACTTGATTGCCTTCCTGATATTTTTGTTGGAAAGGCCCTGTAACTTCTCCCTAAGTCACTGTCGTGTAGTTTTGCTTGAAATTGTGTTTTAGTGCATTACAGGATCTTTACTTCTGCCTCTGGAAAAATGCAGTAGGTATATTTTTCTCTTTTCCTCCCACACAGTACAACTGAAAACTCTGGACATTACGTCTAAAATAAATATACTGAAACCAAGTCCCTCTAAAACCAAATTCCCTTGGTAGGTCTGTGATTAATCTCTCTATCCAAAACTTTATTTCCTTTCTTATCCTGCCCCTGTACCCCTCAAGATTGAGGAGTGTCAAAGAAAAAGTGTGGCGGGGGTTGGGGGGGGAGTTGAAACTGATCAGGACCCCTCAGGGTCTTCCCAGGTACAAAAGCCCCTGCACGTCCCCCATTTTTTATTTGAAAGGAAAAAAGTCTTTAATTTCCATGGCCTTCATTGAGTTCTAAAGAGCAGGCTCAAGCAGTTAATGAATGATTAATCACAGGAATCCCTCCTAATGGGACATTGATAACAACCTGATGCATGTCTTTGAGTTGCTCAATAGAATCTAAGACCCTCACCCAGGTAGAGGATGGTGACTTATGTGCTGACTGCAAGCAGGTAGACCCCAGACTGGTTGGAATCAGAAAGTTGAGATTCCTGAAACGTCACCCTCACCATCAACTGATGTGAAGGTCCACAAGCTGATTATGCATTCTACAGCCCTCTCCCCTAATACTGTCTAAAAAGTATTAGGTTTAAAAACGCTGTCTGAAAGCCATCAAGAAGCTCAGGTGTTTTGAGCATGAGCTGCCTGTTTCCCTTGCTTTAAATAAACCCTTACTTTACTGCAAACACTCAGTGTCAGAGTTTGGTTTTCTGCACAGTGGGCACACAAGTGCTTGCTCTAAAACAATAAGAAGACTCTGAAAAGTGAAGAAAAGAAGGCATACTAGCTAGAGACCTCAAGATCCAAATAGGTACACAGAGGCAAGTTCTTGGATTTTCATTTAGCATTTTATATCACATACAGGGTACTGGAGAATCCCCAAACCAGAAATCCCAAATAGTCAAGAAGCACAAACCCAAATGCCCCAGTAAAAGACTACTTTTGTTAGCCAAAGGGCCAAAAAAAGGGGCAGCCTAGCAAGATAGAAAACCTTTAGAGAATAACCACACTACTGCAGACAAATACCATATAATAAAAACCTATGGCCCCAATCACACTCACGCCAGTAAAGGCCAGGTGAGGAACCAACTTCCACACCCTCAAGGCCATAATGAGACACCCCAACATCTTAACAGCCCAATCTCTCTACACTTCAGCTCCACTCGTGTGTTGCAGAGAAAGCCAAGTAGAGAGCCAGGATTTTTCCCACTGCTGGATAGTAACAAGTACCCATTCACACATTCTCCCCTATCCCCAAGATGTCACTGGAAACCACGTGGTGAGCCTTCCACCCCCACCTGATAGTAAGAGTCAGAAGGGCCGTGTGGAATGGCTGGACTTCCTCCGCCATCAGAGGTAAGGAGGCCACCCCTCACTGCCATGGTGTCAGTGGAGGCCACCTAGAGAATACTCCTACCCTTCTAGGCTAGGGGCATATCAGTGGAAACCCAGTGGGGAGTTGAAATTCCCACTACCACTTAAAAGCAATGAGGAGCCCCAGTCGCCTCCCCCGCAATAGGTATCAACAGAGGTAAAAATTGGAGCCTAGACTTCTATCCCCACCTGGCATTAACAAAGACAATGCCCCCCTCCATTCTTTCACCAGAGCAGTGTCAGGAAAGCCAGCTAAAAGAGAGGATTAAAATAAGATCCAGCATGTCACAATACCCAAAGCGTTCAGGCTTCAATCAGAATTATTCATCATACCAAGAACCAGAAAGATTGCAAACTACTAAAAAGAAAATGTCAATACAAAGGTGACAGAGAAGTTAAATTATTTGAAAAACATTTTAAAGCAGCCATCAAAAAATGTTTCAATAAGCAGTTAGAATACCTTTAAATGGAAAAAAAACAAGGTGGGAGGGCTTCCCTGGTAGCTCAACTGGTAAAGAATCCACCTGCAATGCAGGAGACCCCAGTTCAATTCCTGGATCAGGAAGATCCCCTGAGAAGGGATAGGCTACTCACTCCAGCATTTACAGGCTTCCCTGGTGGCTCTGATGGTAAAGAATCCGCCTACAATGTGGAGGACCTGGGTTCGATCCGTGGGTTGGGAAGATCCCCTGGGGGAGGGCATGGCAACCCACTCCAGTATTCTTGCCTGGAGAATCCTCATGGACAAAGGAGCCTGGTGGATTACAGCCCATGGGGTCACAAAGAGTCAGACATGACTGAGTGACTAAGCACATTAGCACAGTAAAAAAAAAAAAAAAATAGAAGATATAACAAAGAAATAAAATTTTAGAGTTGAAGAATGTAATAACTGAAAGAAAAAGCAAACCCTCAAAGAATGAGCTCTACAGCAGAATAGAGGAAAGAATCAGTGAGCAAGAAGCTAGAACAGTAGAAATTACCCAATCTCAACAACAGAAAGAAAAATAGACTGAAAAAAACAAAACAAAACCTCGGCTTCAGGGATCCATGTGACAAAAGATCTAACATTCATGTCCTCAGAATCTGGGAGAGAGAGGGAAAAAAAGCTTTCCCCAAAAAAACCCAAGCTATCTAATCATTTTACATCTGTCTCCAAGCTGTTTTCTTATTCACTCACCTCCACCATAAAATGATACTATCTCTCTTGCTAGATCACTCTGAACTACCAGGTTCTCTCTTTCTCTTTCCCTCTCTCATTCCCTTTCTTTTCCACAACAATAAATAAGCAGTCAAGAAAATGGTAAAATTTGGTTAAGAAACGATACCTAAAAGTACCTTCAAAAATTGTAACAGCATCAGGTTTAGATGAATGAAACAGAAAGGCCAAATGATAGCAGTCTGGTTTATCATCGCATAAAAGAAGTCTAAACATAGACAAACCAGGATCATTATGGCAACTCTGAGTTATCAAAAACCCAGGCTCCTCTTTTGGTTTTACTGTCTGCCACTGGTTTCTGGCTTCATGCTTACTTCACCATCCAAGGTGGCTGCTGGTGGTCCCACATAAAAGAAAAAGAGGAGAAAAGGTAAAGGGAAGTTATATGCTGGTAGATGGGCATTTTCATAATTCTTCTTTATAAGCCCCACTCCACAATTTCCCTTCCCCACTGGCCACAACTTAGTCACTTAGCCATTCTTAGCTGCTTTTAAAAATTGGCATCAGAATGCCTTTTGAACAAGTCATGCATTCTCCAATATTCATGTCATATGCTTGTATAACCTATTGACCCTTTCATGACTGAAAATGCAGTACATCACCTTAATTCTACATCCAATATATCAATTATAACAAAAATAACAGAGGTTTTTGGTTTTACTTTTGTTTATTTAGTTTTGCTTAAGGCTATAATTACCAGAGACCCATGACATAATTTTGGTAGCCTTCAGTCACTTTGATATTTCCTAGTCATATTATTTCTGTATGGTCCAACTCATCTATGAAGACCATAAAGATGTGGTTTGGAGTCACAAATGCATATTAGAACTTTTCCAAAATACTAAAGCCCAGGGCTCAACTAAAAGTAATTTCTGGGGTAAGTCATTGAGCATTTGCCTTTATTTTTTAATTTTCTCAAATAGTTTCACCGCAGAATGAGCATTGATAGAGGCTGCCTTATAAGGTAGAACTATCTAAGACATGAGAGATGTTCAGGAACTAGTCATGCTGGCAATGACTATGGGCATTGGGAAAAAGGGACAAGTAGGAGAGATGTCTGGGAGGTGAAACTGATAGTTCCTGTTACTTCTGAAAACTGAAGGAGATTTGAAAGAAAGGGACTTCCCTGGCAGTGCAGTGGTTAAACTCCTTGCTTTCATTGCAGGGGGCACAGGTTCGATCCTTATTTGAGGAACTAAGATCCCACATGTTGCATGGTGCAGCCAAAGAAAGACAGAGAGAGAGAGAGAGAGAGAAGTAATAATTGAGGTAGATTCCTAGGGTTTTGACTTGGGTGACTGGTTAGACAAAAGTGCCATTTCCCACAACAGGGAACTGGGTTATTTTGAGTTTGAAGTGAACGTGTCCAGGGGCAGTTGGCCAGATGGAGAGGTGAAGTTAGACATATGTATTTGGAAGTCATGGGCTAATAGATGATAATGAAAGTCATGAGTGTAGATGGGGTCCCTCTGAACATTTCTAGAGTGGATAAAAATCCTGAGAACACTCTAGGGAGTGGAAGAAGAATTAGAGCATATAAAGACCAAGAGGGAGAGTCCTGAGAAGACAGGAAATGAGGACAGAGAGATGTCAGAGAAGTTAAAATAGAACAGTTCAAAGAAAAAAATATTTCCAATGCCAGTGTTTATCGAGTGAGAGATATGATAAGCACAGAAAAGTCTTTGAAGGCTTTTGCAACTAAGAATTATTGTTGCCTTTAGTAAAGAAGAACATTTGCAATGAAATGGTAGGGCCAGTTCACAATACACTAAGGGAAAATTACAGATGGCAAAATGGCCAGAGACAATGGATATTGTCTTTCTTTTCCCCCCAGGAAACTTGGCCTGTGAAGGAAAGGAGAAATTAGCAGGAAGTAAGTTCAGGAATTTTTTACTTCATTTGTTTTCATTTGTTTTCTTTTACTGAAGTATAGTTGGTGTATAACATTATACAAGTTTCAAGTATACAACATAGTGACTCACAATTTTTAAAGGTTATGCTCCATTTATAGATATTTAAAATGTTGGCAGTATTCCCTGTGCTGAGTTTGTAGCTTGTGTATGCTTGTAGCTTGTTTTATGCCTAGTAGTTTGTATCACTTAATTCCCCACCCTTGTATTGCCCCTCCTCCCTTCCCTCACCCTCCTGTTAATCACTGATTTGCTCTCTGTATCTGTGAGTCCACTTCTTTTTTGTTATATTCATAAGTTTGCTGGGGTTTTTTTTACATTTCACATATAAGTGATATCATAAAGTATTTTTCCTTCTCTTTCTGACTTACTTCACTTAGGGTAATGCTCTCCAAATTCACCCGTGTTGCTGGATTCCAGTGAGTTGCCAGAAATGTTTAAAGTTTGTGGAGTTAAGAATTCCCTGGTTATCTAGTGGTTAGGACTCCACATTTTCACTGCCCAGGGCACAGGTTTGATCCCTGGTCAGTGAGCTAAGATCCCTCAAGCCACATGGCATGGCCAGAAAAAAATAAATAAAGTAAGGCTCATGGAGTCAACATATTCTCTCCCTATTGGCAGACCTACATGGAACTTAGGTTGCTCCATGAACATGAAATGAAACAAGGAGAAACCAATGAATCAACTGTCTAGTGAATGCCCCTTTGTGATTGTAGTGACAGGAAGTACTCAAAATCAGATGCCTAAATCTCCTATGTTTATCTTCACATTAGGAGTGGTATTGCAACTGGGACCAAGAAAAGGTCAAAGACTGATGTTAAAACTTCCTTTTCCCTAGAGAATGGGCAGTTCCAACATTTCCCTCTGTGATTCTTTCTTTCTTATCCCAAAGGCTAGTCCAAGAGAGTGTTGCTTGCCTTTAATGAGATTTTCACCTATTTTGAAAGAAAAGAAAATAATATCTCTCTGAATTAGTGGCCTTTATGGAAACAATTGTGTTTGTTCTGAGAATATGGTATTTATTATTTTTTATGGCAAAACATCTTTTCCTTTATGCCATGGTGGTGACAAGAGACTGGTGGATCTTTTTCACACTCATCTTTGGTAAATTGAAAAGTTAGCAGCACTTCATTGGGTCCTCTTTTTTTTTTTTTTTTAACTGAGTCATAAACCTTAAAGGCCTGGAACTACTGTTCTATCCACCCACAGAGGAACAAACATTTTGTTTTGATTGATACGTTCTTAAGATATGGCAATGATTTCAAACTGGTTACACTGAGCCTTCAAGAAATCTTTCGGGTGATTCATTTTTTATTCATTTTATGGCTAAATTCTTAGAGGTTTTATTTTATCTCATTTACAAGTTAACAGGGCATATCTTTATAGTCCTCAAGAATTTAGAACATCCTATAACTCACTTTCTAAGAACACAAGGAGTGTATCTTATTACAATAATAACATCTACCATTTCTTGAGCATATACTATATGCCAGGCACTGCGAATTCTTAATATAGATTAATCTAAGTGCCCTTTCATAACTCTATGAAGTAAGTGTAATTATTATTATCATTTTAAGATAAGATCATTAGGACATAAAGAGGTTATCAATCTGTCCAAGGTCACATAACTAGCAACCAGACCTAAAACTAAAAGCAGGCATCTGGTTCCAAAGTCCATTTTCATATTATGTCTCTTGAAAAATCAGAGGCTGGGGAGCTGGCGAGGTTCATGCTGGAGGGCTTCGCGTCTGGGGAAAAACTGGTGGCAGCTGGAAGCAGCGAGGGCATATCATGGAGCATCTCGAAGGTGTCATCAACAAACCAGAGGCGGAGATGTCCCCACAAAAGCTGCAGCTCCATTATTTCAAAATGCATGATTATGATGGCAATAATCTGCTTGACGGCCTAGAACTCTCCATGGCCATCACTCATGTCCATAAGGAGGAGGGAAATGAGCAGACACCAATGAACAAAGATGAGTTGATCAACTTAATAGATGGTGTTCTGAGAGACGATGACAAGAACAATGATGGATACATCGACTATGCTGAATTTGCAAAATCCCTGCAGTAGACCCGATGTGGCCATCTCCCAGTTAAATGCAAATCTGACCCATTATAATGTGATCGGACACTTTCCGTAATGCAAAATAACTCATTTCCAAAATACTGCTTTGGTATTTTGGCAAAAACCTGTAGCAACTTGTTACACTGGGGTAAGAAAGAGAAATCAAGAGAAATAAAAAAGCAGAGGAATGGGACCTACTGTAGTCCCCAAGTACTGTTATATATCTTATTGGACAGGGCTTGATAAAAAAAAAATTGGATGATTGGAGCTGAGCACTCAGGAACTTGGACGGAGAATGCTGCCAGGCTCTTGGTTTTAAGTCATGCTACCTGAAAAGTAAGACAAGCTTTTGCTAACTGGACACACTTTTCAGTAACTGAAGGAATGGAATGAATGCCAAATGTTTCCCCTGAGGGCATCCTGTCTCTTCAGAGGAACGTGGTCAGTATTCTGTAAAGTTCCCCTGGCCTAAATGATTACTTGTTCTGGTCAAGGGAGTATTTATTAGCCTATTCAAAGCCACAAATCAGAAGAATGTCAAATAGTTGAGCTAGCTAGAGTCTAAGATTCTGTATCTCCTGACACTTTGGGAACAACACACCACTGACCTAAGTGATTCACCTTTTTCAGTTTTTCAGTATTTTATAATACTACTGCCACATCCTTACACTATCTTTTATGTCTTCTTCAACCAAGGAGAGACCTCAATTCTAAAAGTGTTCCCTACTTCTTGTCATTAGCAAACATTTTAGCTTTCTAGGTATTTGTATTTAACTCTTGTTTCTAGGGTTTTGTTTTTGCAGTTTAGAAACTCTTAAGAATGTAAGGACTTTATCCCTTCTGCTTGATACAGCAGAGGTGAACTACCAGCCAGTCTAGCCTAAGTGAAAAGTGAAAAGATTCTTCACCAAGCACAGTAATTAACCTAACACACATGAGATCTAGAAGGAGTATTGTTTAAATTACCTCTTCTGCCTGAGTACGTGAATTCTTTCAGATCAGTAGAAAAAGAAGCCTAAAAACTCTTAACAGTGTGAATCTCAATTGTAATTCACAATCAGAAGTGGCGGCAGATTATAAAATGGTTTATGGAATGTGATGGATATGCTGTGATAGGAAACCGGAAATGATGGTTGAATGGGTTAAAAAAAAAACTGCATAAAATTTTCTGTAAGATATATAGACTTATTTTCTGTACCAAAGTATTCTTATAAGAAAAATAAGTATTTGTAAAAATGGTCTCCTGTGTCAGGTATTTGTGCAATCAGAGCTGAATTGTAAACTATTCTTGTAATAACTGGTTATTTTGAAAGATTTATATAATGAATTCTGGATATATGACCAATAAAACTGATGAAATGAAAGAGCAAAAAAAAAAAAAGAAAAATCAGAGGCTGCCTTCTCATTGGGAAATTAAACCTTGGTTTTTTATGAGATAGTAAAACTAATGAGGCCTAGTATATTTTTGAATATTTGACAATTTAAAAACATTCAATGCTAAACCTAATTCACCCTAAGCATAGAAATACAAAAGTAACTTGCATTTTCTAGGATAAAAAATGAAAATATTTTGATAATTCCCTTTATCCTTTTTTAATCTTCTATTTGTGAATGTTTTGTTCCTAAAATAACTTCTGACTGCAACTTTATCAAGAATAGTATTTCTTAAGAAAGAAGTTTTTCCATGTGCTGATACTAGTTTTTTGTTCTGTTTTGTTTCAGCAGAATTCCTCGTTTTAGCCTACTCTGTCATTGTGGCTGGGACAAGACCAGCCTTTGTCTCTCTATTCCCTTTTCTGGGACATAGCCTTGGATTCTGTTCAAGGAGGGTCCTGCCTCTGATTTGTGTGTCTTTCTGCCATGCTGAATCCTCCAAAACTTCCTTGGCCTTCTTCCAATGACTTCTCTTAGGTGTACCTTTCCACGTGGGTGTCTTTTGAGAAGTCTGTATCATTTGCCAATTTTCCATGTACCATAAGCCTCAGCTTCCGTGCTTTGGGTCTCCCAACCATATTTTGCAATATTAGGTGTAGCAGGAGATTCCACTTCTTACTCTTTAAGAGAGAAAATCAAACCAAAAATCATTTACATTCAAGTCTTCCTCTAGTGGGTTCTGTGTATTACATCATGTCTCATGGGGTCTCCAAGACCACCTCTCAGTCATATTCATGGCTATGATTGATTTCAGCAAAAAGATACAAAGCAAAATAGCAAAGATAAAGGGGACATGGGGCAAAGTTCACAGGAAACCAAGCACAAACTTCTAAGAATTCTCTGCTGGTGAAGAGAGACAACATGCTTAATGCCTCAGCATTTTACACATGTATTAATAGAATGTTATCTACCAGGGAAGCTCATTAGAGACCCTGTGCCCAGAGTTTTTATTATGAGCTGGTCACAAAGGTATTCTCTGCCTAACACAAAATTCCAGACTCCAGAAGGTGTTCAGCATAAACAGCACTGTTGGTGTGAACAGTTTAGGTATAGTGAACCATTCTTATTAGTTGTGTTTGCGTGCTCAGTCGTGTCTGACTCTTTGTGACCCATGGACTGGGGCCCACCAGGATTCTCTGTCCATGGGATTCTCCAGGCAAGAATACTGAAGTGGGTTGCCATTCCCTTTTCCAGGGGATCTTCCCAACCTGAGGATCGAACCCTGATCTCCTGCATTGCAGGTGGATTCTTTACCTGCTGGGCCATTGGGGAAGCCCATTCTTATTAGTTAGGGTGGGGGAAATCTTTCCCAAGTTCAAGTTCCCAGGCATCAGTCAAGGGCCAAGCTTGTAAGGAGGGCTTTGAAAGGCTAGCACTCAGTCTGCTATGTTAACTCTTTTTTTTTTTTTTTAATAACTGGTGGCATGTAAAGAAGACCTGGTAAAACAGGTCTAAGCCAAGAACGTGAGGCTGGAGCTTCCATACATAACTGTCAAGTCCAAAGGTCTGCACTGGACAGTGGATGAGGAAAAAAAAAAAGAAATGGGAAACCAAGCAGGAACCTGATTGAAGTAAAACCCACTGAGGGTTTTGATCAGAGGTGATTGTTCCCAAATGCTACCCTCGGGATGCCCAAGGCTACTTCTCCTGGTCCGTAGCTGAGTTAAATGCTTGAAGGTGTAGAGCCAAGATGCAAATGCTCTCCAGATGCCCCCATGGCATGGCAAGGATATCTCGGGGACGAAAGACTGAGACTGGTCATTGAGGTGTCTGCTTGTCTTGGAAAGTCAGTGTCATGATATCACTTTGTTGCACACCTAAGAATAACACAACATTGTAAATCAACTGTATTTCAATGAAAAAAAAAATGTTGAATAGACTTGTGTGCCCAGTGGCTACTGTATTGGACAGTGCAGCTCAAGAGAAGGCTCAGGAGGTCACTTGGAATCTGACTACGGCCAGACCAGTCAGGAGGCTAGACACGTGGTGATGTACTCTACCTTTTAGCAGGGATAATAGAGATTGATGCCTCCAATGCCATTATCCCAAGAAAATATCTGGACAGGTGTCCTGATGTACGCTCAGTATTTTCATAAAGACTAATGCCACATGACGTTCTCCTAGGTGGTGCTAGTAGTAAAGAACCCCCCTGCCAGTGCAGGAGACATAAGAGATGCGAGTTTGATCCTTGGGTCAGGAGGATCCTCTGGAGGAGGACATGGCAACCCACTCCAGTACTCTTGCCTGGAGAATCCCATGGACAGAAGAGCCTGGCCGGCTACAGTCCATGGGGTCTCAAAGAGTCGGACATGACTGAAGCACCTTTGCACCCATTCATGCAATGCCACATGACCTTAATTAGAATAGAAAAGTGACTCCTCACTTGAAGTTCATGTTTAACCCCTAAAGGCATACCTCAAAAAGACCAAGCACTCTTAGGAAGTTCAGAATGAAGTCTTGAACAGCTATTGCCCTTAGAAATTAAGGGCAAAGCTTAATTCTTCCAATGGTTAATTCTAAGTTTGAGTGTGTTTTGAGGCCAAGGAGTAGAAAGCTACCCTATCTTAGAACATCCATTCAAAAACCTCTACAGTCCTGCAACCTCAAAAGGATTGGTAAACCTTATCCAGTGCCACCAAAAGGAAATTTCTGCCTCTGTCCATGCTCAGCAGAACTCTGGGAACACCCAGACAGTTAGCGCTGTGAACTAGGGATAAGGAAGGCAGCCTATGTGACTGTAGCCAGTTACATGTCCCAGTAGACCAACCTTGGATCCAGGCCTTTCTGCTGTGCCAGGATGCAAGCTGAGAGGGCCACTAGGGCCTTTTCAAGAGAACTAATTTGACTCATTAGGGACTCTAATAGTCCCATATGCAGCATAACTTCTTTCATTAATCAGGCAAAGACAAAGAATACTGTCAGCCTAAAGATAAGTCAGTGATCCCCAAGGAGCTATTATTCCTTTTCCTGCTCCTAAGCCTGTTAGTCATGCAATTTAATCATAAACCTTCCTTCTTCTCTGTGTCCACCTCAGAGTGAGGGGGCTATTGGCGAAAAGTTTATACATCACCTGTGCTTGCTTACACAGCACTGGCCACTCAACCATGCACCTGCAAGATGCCCCTGGATCACACACCTGCAAAATGCAGTGGAAGAGTACAAACCAGTGAATATATTTCTTTCCCCTTGGTGGGGCACAGACTTGTAATCCTTCCATAGGCATTTCAAATCCAAGTCCAAGTCTACTTGTCATCACCTCTAAACTCATGGTCAAGAGACCATGAACCAAATACTGGGCTATTTCAGTTTTAGGTCATCTTACTAATAGGGCCGTTAACCCTAATAAAGCAACCTTCACACTATGGAACTTTTCTGATCCTGTTCAACCAGTATTTCAATACCAACTGCAATTATGGGTTTCACTCCAAGTAATTCTCCATTACTCACTTTGATCACCACTCCAGCAACCTACCTAGAAGAATCTCATGAGCTCAGGAGAAGCTTCAGGCTTTTTGAGACCTACGATTGGACTCTGAAGTCTGAAATATGGCTAAACAATATTGCTTTGTAGA